CCAGAGCCCCCCACCTTCTTCCTTGTAGATTTTCACATCTGCACCAGAATGACACTCCAGTGAGGCCAGGCTAATTAGGGAGATGTTCCTCATTTTGCTGCACTTTTCCTGTGTAATTGGAAGTCCCGCTTTCTCCAGTGAAAAGTCAGTGAGAGCTGTTCCCCTGAATAGTTCTAAAAGCTTTGGACCACATACTGATACCTGCTGCAAATTTGTGGGCGAGATTATAATGATTGCTCAGTAATGCAATATTAAAAGCAGAGGCCTTTCTCAGTGCCGAGCAAAGACGGAGTTCCAACCTTCCAGCTTCAAAAAGGGACTCAAAACAGAATTACCAGCCCTTGTACTAGCAGCAGCAATCAATGGGCTCCCAATTCCTTCCCGTCCAAATAAAGGAAAAATAAGGGGGTATGAATTTAGCTAAAGTTCAGAAAATGTTGGTTCGGCTTCCAGAACTGCAAGGGAGCTCTCAGACGCTCCGTCTCCTGGTTCTGCTGGTGTTGCTCATGTCTGTAGATGTTTGCTGTTTCCAGGAGCTGCAGCCCGGCGCTTGGCTGGCTCTAACAAGGACTTGAGGGAGCAAAACGCTGTTAAATTTTTTTTTTTTTTTGCACTTTTGCTTCATTAGTTCTAGAAACCAGGGGTTCTGTGGCTGTGAGTCTTCCTGTATAATTCAAGAAATTAATGAAAGCTTGCTGGATTTTTCTGACAGTCTTTAGGCTGCAAATTTGTTTAGCTTTTTTTTCTTTTTTTTTTTTAACTGTCAGTGGAGGCTACTGGAACCTAAATATTTTAATATTGAAGAAAGGCAGGCTTTTTTTTTTTTTTTTTCCAGAGACAAGGTCTCACTCTGTCACCCAGGCTGGAGTGCAATGGCATGATTATAGCTCACTGCAGCCTCAAATTCCTGGGCTAAGGGGATCTTTCTGCCTCAGCCTCCCAAGTAGCTGGGACTATAGGTGTGCGCCAACACGCCTGGCTAATTTTTAAAAATCTTTTTTGGTAGAGTGGGGGTCTCACTATGTTGTTGCCCAGGCTGGTTTGAAATTCCTGACCTCAAGCAATCCTCCTGCCTTGGCTTCCTAAAGTGCTGGGATTTCAGGCGTGAGCCACTGCACCCAGACCACCTTTTGGTTTGTTTGTAAAGGAAGACATCTCTTACCATCGCCCACACTGTGTCTGTCAATCAGGTGGTGTGGACGTGAGGGACCTGGAGGCTGAGTCCGTCCATGTCAGTCCATCCTCTGACCTTAGAGCAACTGAGTCTCATAATGGCTGAGAGGGAGGGCTTTACAGCAAGTGGGGGCTCCCAGTTTTGACTCCCAGTTGCCGGACCCCACTACCTGCAAAATGGAGACTTGAAGCAATTCACTGCTTTCTTTTCAGTCTCTTCCAAAGCTCACTTTACTAATGTACCTGGACATCAAGTCTAAAGCATTAGACTGTCTGCGTGTGTGTGTGTGTGTGTGTGTGTGTGTGTGTCTAACTCTAAACTCATGGGACTTGAAAGGACTTTAGAAATTGTTTAATGTGAACATTGCTGAGGGACATAAAAAAGCAACTTAAGCAAAGGAGACGATAATGTGTTGACTTGATAGTGTAAAAATGTCAATTTGTCGTGAATTGATCTACACATTTAATGTTGTTCCAAAATCCTAGTGGAATTTCTATTTGGGAACTTGACAAAATATTTTTAATGTTTACCTGAAAGATCTTGCTTTGAAAAAAAAGAAAAAAGAAGGGAAAGTTTATTTTACTAGACATTATGAGAACCTATAAAACAACAACAATTTAAACAGTTAAATAAAAAGAATTTAACAGGCCGGGCGCGGTGGCTCAAGCCTGTAATCCCAGCACTTTGGGAGGCCAAGACAGGTGGATCACGAGGTCAGGAGATCGAGACCATCCTGGCTAACCCAGTGAAACCCCGTCTCTACTAAAAAATACAAAAAACTAGCTGGGTGAGGTGGCGGGCGCCTGTAGTCCCAGCTACTCGGGAGGCTGAGGCAGGAGAATGGCCTAAACCCGGGAGGCGGAGCTTGCAGTGAGCTGAGATCTGGCCACTGCACTCTCCAGCCTGGGCGACAGAGCAAGACTCTGTCTCAAAAAAAAAAAAAAAAAAAAGAATTTAACAATTTACAGGCAGAAAGAGGCCAGAGCCAATGTCGTTATCAGCATTTAGACTCTGATAAAAGTGTCCTCAGAGGGGAAAAGATGGACTGTATTGGGGGTGAGTTTGGAACAAGTGGTGAGCCACAGGGAAACAGATTACATCACAGCCCCATATCATTCGCAAACTGAAATGTGGCCCTATTACACGGATCATTACTATTTACAAGTTAAGAGTAAAAACACAAGAATGCAATTTAAAGGCAAGTGAATACGTATCAGCTTTTGCAGTGGGGAGGGTGTTTTTATGCATCCACACAATGCCAGAATCTAAAGAGGAAAGCAGTGATTGATTTGGCCACAAACTGGTGTGTGAAAAGCAACACCACACACAAAATGAAAAGGCTACAAGACAAACTGCTGAAAATGTTGGCAATGTAGTTTGCCTCAAAGGGTTTGTGGTAGTGTTTGCCAAAATCCAAAATGGGGTAACGTTCTTAATATGTAAAGAGCTCTTGTCAATAAATAAAAGGATGAAACCCCCAGGGGAAAGCAGATAGATGACGCGAATAGACATTTTGGAAAAGAAAAAAAATCCAAATAGCTAATAAACATATGGAAAAAATACTGAACCTCATTAATGATCAAAGAAATGTAAATTAAAGCAGCAGTGGTACGCTGTATTTTGCTGGACAGATTTTTTTCCCCTAGATAATGCCCAACTTTGGCAGAGATGCAAGGAAACAGATGCTTTGCCATTGGATTCATAAACTGGTGGGTCATTTTGTAGAGCGATGTGGCAAAATGTATCAAAAGTCATAAAAGAAGGTGTCAACTTTTAGAAATTTATCTGAGGATGTTTGCTAGGCATCCAGATGCATATACAACATTGTTTATAATGGTGGAAAACTGGAATCAAACTGAACAATATGAGCAACAATATGGGATCAGTTACCATCAGGTCATTTCATGCAATACCAGGCAGCTGTGAAAACTTCTGTGCAAGGAGCACTTTGCAACATGGGAAAACGTTCATGAAATGTTTTTGCTAGAAAGTAACAGATTACCAAATAGTATGTACGGTGTGATTCCCTCCCCACAACCCCCAGCCGCCAGGAACAAAGGTATCTGCACTTGCTGCTTGGAAGGAGATACACCAGAATGTTGACAGTGGCTTGTTTGGGTCTCAGGTGTTACCAGTGACTTATTATTTCAGCTTTTCAGTATTTTCCACACAGTGTACAATGATTGTATATTACTTTCACAATTGGATTTAAAGAGTTAGTAAAGGCCGGGCACAGTGGCTCATGCCAGTAACGCGAGCACTTTGGGAGGCTGAGGCAGGAGCATTGCTCGAGCCCAGGAGTTCAAGACCAGCCTAGGCAATGTAGCAAGACTCTATCTCTATAAATAAATAGTAAAAATAAACCTGTAAACCAGTTCCCTAGCTGTACCAAGAGGGGGCTGATGCGTGAGGAATTTCAGTCCTTTAAGAAGGTAGCTGCAGAGCAGAAACCGGAATCATCATCCAGGGTTTGTTTTTAAGAAAAGTGGGTGTTACTGCAGATATATGGGGCAGAAAATAAAAACAAAAGTGGGATTTTCACCCTGGTCTCAGGAATCTCTCCGAAACTCTCTTTAGGAAATTATCCAAAATGTGGAAAGCGCTAGATGCACAAAGATGTTCGTCGAGGTATTATTTATGATAGTAGACACTGCTCGCAGTTGAAATGTGCATTCGTGGGCGTAGTTAAGTTGCTGTGTACATTCTCTTGGTGGGACATTGCACAGCCGTTGATAATGGGGACAATGAGGAGCCGTGCAGATGTGAAGAGATGCTTGTGGTTGCTATTGTGTGGTGGAAAAAATCAAGACGTAGGCCGGGCATGGTGGCTCACGCTTGTAATCCCAGCACTTTGGGAGGCCAAGGCAGGCAGATCACCTGAAGTCAAGAGTTTGAGACCAGCCTGGCTAACATGGTGAAACTCCGTTTCTACAAAAAATACAAAAAATTAGCCGGGCGTGATGGCACACGCCTGTAATCCCAGCTACTTGGGAGGCTGAGGCAGGAGAATTGCTTGAACCTAGGAGGCGGAGGTTGAAGTGAGCTGAGATCATGCCATTGCACTACAGCTTGGGCAACAAGAGTTAAACTCCGTATCAAAAAAAAAAAAAATCGATGTAAAATATATATGTTATGATTATAGTCACCAACATACGATTCAGAAGGGAATATAATAATATATTACAAAGTAGGGTTTTTTGTTTGTTTGTTTGTTGTTGTTGTTGTTGTTATTGTTGCTGTGGTTTTTGAGACAGAGTCTTGCTCTGTTGCCCAGGCCAGAGTGCAGTGGCGCAATCTCGGCTCACTGCAAGCTCTACCTCCTGGGTTCACGCCATTCTCCTGCCTCAGCCTCCAGAGTAGCTGGGACTACAGGCACCCGCCACCACACCTGGCTAATTTTTTGTATTTTTAGTAGAGACGGGGTTTCATTGTGTTAACCAGGATGGTCTCGATCTCCTGACCTTGTGATCCGCCCACCTCGGCCTCCCAAAGTGCTGGGATTACAGGCATGAGCCACCACGCCTGGCTAATTTTTTGTATTTTTAGTAGAGACGGGGTTTCATTGTGTTAACCAGGATGGTCTCGATCTCCTGACCTTGTGATCCGCCCACCTCGGCCTCCCAAAGTGCTGGGATTACAGGCATGAGCCACCGTGCCTGGCCACAAACTAGTTTTTAAAGGGTGAGGTAGCTATCAGAAACATTTATGTATTTTTTTTGTCTTAAAAGTTCTAGTCTTTCTATAAAGCTATTATGTTCCTTTTAAAATAATTCCAAAAAATCTAAAAATCAACACAGATGAGCACCTCTCTGAATCCTCTGTCTAGGGCTGGATTCTGGATGGCATCCCCGAGACGCGTGAGCAGGCCCTGAGGATCCAGACCCTGGGGATCACTCCCAGACACGTCAGTGAGTAGCTCCCAAGGGTCCCCCACCTGCCACAGCTGCAGCCCCAAGGGGTGGCCAGTGAGCGCCCCGCTCATGCCGCCTACTCCCGACCTCAGCCCAGGCACTGTCCGAGACCCAGCAAGGAAGAGGACAGCACAGCTTAATTTTTCACAGAGCTAACTATATTCAGGGCTGGTTCTTAAGAAAAGTGGGGTTTTGCTTTCAGCCTGGTGATTCTTTGTCCCAGGAAGGAAATCAACTAGAATGCTATGCAGGCGTTCAGTGCATGCAGAGATGCCCATCATGGCGTTACCTGTGACGAGGGAAGTTGCTAACAGGCAGAACTTTCAGTCATGGGCCTGGCTCTGTCCCGAGGTTACACTCTGTCCCGAGGTTACGCTCTTTGTGTTTGGGTGCAAGAAGACCTTTCTCTTAGGAATTCATGGGGATGGGAGATGATTGTTGTTTTAATGTCATTATACAGAAAAACAAAAAACCTGAAGCAAGTATTGGTCCGTGCTATTCATATGTGTGGCACCCGCTGCCTGACATGCCTGCTTTTCTCCTTTTCTTCTCTGTCCAGTCGTGCTGAGTGCTCCAGACACGGTCCTGATCGAGAGAAACCTGGGGAAGAGAATCGACCCTCAAACTGGAGGTATGGCTATGGCCACCCCCACCCAGCCCCATGGGGTTTCAGAGACCCTGGTGGTGACAGCCCGCCTACCATTTCCCGAGCTCGCATTCTGCTCTGGGCACCCACAGAGGGACACAAGGAAGGCTGCCACAGGCTGGGCTCTGAGCTGGAAGACACTGGCAGGGGTACATTCTGGTAGATGAGGAAAGGGAGGCCCGTTTAGGTTAAAGGAGGAGACTTTCTTGTGGCAGAACCAGAGTACAGTGTAGGGGGTCATGCGGGGCACCTGGGCTTGGGGCCCACACAGGAGCCAGGGGACGTGTCTCCCTCTCCCTGGGACAAATTATGTACCCCCGGGAGGCGGGACTGCCCTTGATGGTCCAGGCCTCAGGCTATGGTGGCAAATAGACCTGGGTTTGTGGATCCTAGCTCTGCCCCTTTCTGGCTGTAGACATGGGATACCTGAGGTTCAGTTTTCTTATCTGTACATGAGGATGAAAATACCAACCTAGGGCAGGGCGCAGTGGCTCAAGCCTGTAATCCCAGCACTTTGGGAGGCCGAGAGGGGTGGATCACGAGGTCAGGAGATCGAGACCATCCTGGCTAACACAGTGAAACCCCGTCTCTACTAAAAAATACAAAAAACTAGCTGGGCGAGGTGGCGGACACCTGTAGTCCCAGCTACTCGGGAGGCCGAGGCAGGAGAATGGCGTAAACCCGGGAGGCGGAGCTTGCAGTGAGCTGAGATCCGGCCACTGCACTCCAGCCTGGGCAACAGAGCAAGACTCTGTCTCAAAAAAAAAAAAAAAAAAAAAGAGGAAATACCAACCTAATGAGTGATGTGATGGCTCTGAGGATGAAATGGGAGTCTGCAGGTAGGTGCCTGTCAGAGTGCCTGGCACCGAATAAGTGCTCAGAAGTTCACGGCAGCCCTTGCCCTGGGCCCTGTTCTTCTATTGTAACAAGAACAGTAGTTAAGAGCAGGCTCAGAGTCGCTGGAAGGGCTGGTATTGAATGACGGTGTCCTGCCGCGGTCAGCCACACCCCAGGAATTTGTAGGGCCTGGCCTCCAGGACAGCAAGCACCCCAGCCAGCACAGCAGCGCCCACAGGGCCCCTGCATGGCCATTTCTAACTGTGCACCTCTCTCCTTGCAGAGATTTATCACACCACCTTTGACTGGCCACCCGAATCTGAAATCCAGAACCGTCTGATGGTGCCAGAGGATATCTCAGAGCTGGAGACGGCTCAGAAACTGCTGGAGTATCATAGGAACATCGTCAGGGTCATTCCCTCCTACCCCAAAATCCTCAAAGTCATCAGTGCTGACCAGCCATGTGTGGACGTCTTCTACCAGGGTAAACACAAGCAGGCAGCCCCACCCTGGACAGGCGGCCAAGGGCTGGGCTCACTGTGCCTTACTCTGGGAGTGGCCAGTGTCTGGGACATGCCTGGGACCCTGGGAGTCAAGTCATAGATGACCCGGGTTCCCTGCCCAGAAACGCATGTGTGCAGAGCCCCTGGGTGAACCCCACTTGGAGACCCTGGGCTAATGTCCCACACTCAGACGTGGTCACATCTCTGGCCCACAGCAGATTTGGTGGTGATGGGGTTGGGAGGAGGAGAGGCGAGGGATGGGGTGGGAGGGACATGGTAGCAAGAAGTTTGAGCCTGACCTTAAGGGAGAGGAAAGAAGAAATATATAAAGATTAAGACAAAAACAAAATCACCACCACCACCACACACAACACAACAAAACACACACACACACAACACAGGTGATATGCTTCATTTAGGATGGAGATACATGGCCCCGCGCCTGGCACTGCTTTGCTGTCCACAGCAATGGCTGATGTTCCCAGCAGCTCAGGAGCCACTGCAGGCGGCCTGTGCGAGGTCGGGGAACGGCTGAGCTGGGCAACGTGTTCAAATCTCAGCCCCGACGCAGCCCAGCTGTGCAGCCTTCAGCAATGCTCCTAACTCCTCGGAGCCCTAGTTTTGGCATCCCTGAAATAGGAACAAAACTTGTGCCCTCCTCCCAGGCGTAGGTGAGGATTAAATGGGATTCTCCAAATCATGTGTCCACAGCCACAAGCCCAGTTCTGGTGCAGAGGAAAGCCTCAATAAACGTCAGACGCCATAGCTCCTATCATTGTTCAACACCCTGTCCAGAAAGGCAAGGGCAAGGTGGAATAATTCTATCCCCGAACAGCCGTATTATCATTTTCAAAAGTCTTGCTGAGCTTCAGTCATCTGAAAGCCCAGTTACCCCCTTCCACGCAGTGTCGGGTAAATGAAGCGTTTACGATGCAGGGAACATCACAGATATTTAAGACACTTGACAGTTTACAAAGTCCTTTTTTTCATATATTCTCTCAAATCTCTCCAAGAAGAGTTCTGTTTTGCTGGGGAGGTGGTTTTGAGCTCCCTCAAGCCCTTCCCTGCTGACTCTCCCAGCACCCTCTCCTGCCGGTAGACTCGATGCATAAACCTCATTGCCACACTGAACTCAGAGATGCGATGTTTGCCGGCGTGGGTTGAACAGCCTAGCCCTCTGAACAGGGCAGTCAGCCAACGGGTGGGTTAGTAGAAAGTGTCGCTACTTAAAGAAGAAATGCCAGGCTTATGAGGGCTTGTAATTTTCCAGTGATTTTGCATCTCGGAAGGGTCTTTAGTAACAAACACTGCACTCTTAAGATAAACAACCACAACATTTGTCTTATGCCATGATTCTGAATTTACACATTAATTACTTCCAAATTACTTAATTAAATTTAAAAGTTCATATGATCATTCATAAAGAATTCATGCCTGGAATTGTAAATAAAAATGTGAGTGTCTGAATATTAATTATTATTAATTAATAATGCAGAGAGATAAATTGAAAATTGGAATGCAAAATTCTCTCTGTGTTGTTTTTTTAATCTCTCTGCAGTGCACCCAGCAACCACATATTTTTAAAAAGAATAATTAGATGTTGAGACTGTCTGGGGGATCATTACTTCTAATTAACTTAGTTATTTACTGTAAATTAAGCATCATTTGTAAGCAGGCTGCTTTGCCTGTAGTATTTGTGCTTTTCAGATGCACGGGATTATGGAAGGTCTGAGAAGAAAGAGAGCCTCGCCTGAGTAGCTTCCTTTGGGCTTCTCTCAGTGGAGGAATGGTACCCATGGCGGGAGGTTTGGGAGAGTTGCCCCAGCTCTGCCAAGTCTCCGTCTAATTGGCTCATCTGTAAAATGGGACGTGAATAACACAGCCCTCAGGGGATCGTTGGGTCAAACAAACGAGATGGTGCCTGTGGAGTATTTGTCATAGCAATTAGTACATGCCATCGATGATGCTGATCACAACCTGGAAAAAAGTCCATTCTAATTCCTCTGTGCCTTCCAAAAAGAGAGGACTGTTCTTCTCTAATGACCCTTCCAATTTAAAAGTCCTGCAAAGATTTGAGAGGTCAGGGTTTTCACAATGAACATATCCCAGCGGTTCACAGTCGGGGGCAGTTTTGCCCCCGCCGCACCCCCGGGGACATTTGGCAATGTCTGTAAAAGCTTTTTTGTGCTTGCAGTTGTGCTACTGGCACCCAGCGGGTAGAGGCCAGGGACGCTTCTCAACATCCTGCGGTGCCCAGAACGGCCCCGCAACAAAGAAGCTTCTGGCCCCAAATGGCGGTAGTGCTGAGGATGAGGAATCTGTCTGGTTCTTGGGTGGCATGTTCCTGAAGGAAGCATGATGGCCTGGCCCCTCAACCAGCACAGAATCCACTGCAAGGCACATTGGCAAAGGCAGACCGGCAGGAAGTGTAAAGGGGCCACCCATGGCTGACTTTGCATAGGACAGTCTGGGGCCTTGGAAGGAGGGGGAAGGTCTGTCTGGGGAAGAATGCCCTGTTTCGAAGGCTGGCTTGGGGGCTGGCACAGGTCCGTGCCTCATCTGTGGGCATCTGCCCTGCCTCAAGGTGCCCGAAATGCTGCCCTTTACAGCCTCATCAGCTTTTCTCGTGGCTCCCTGCTTCTGAGCTCCGGCGGGAGGTGACCTGGTTTGATGTTTTTCCTGTGGCTTCTTGGCATCCAGGGTCCCCCATGGTGCAGGTGGCCTCATTGTTGGAGACACTCACCCCATCTCCTCACTTCTTTGTTCACCAAATGCCAGGGGCACACCACAGGCCAAGGCTGTGCAGCTACATCTGGCCACTCTTGTGACCTATTTGATCACTACCTCTTTGGAGAGTCGCAACAAAGTTGGTGTCACCAGAGTGCAGCTGCACAAATTACTCTCCACTAATTCGAGTCCTTTAAAAGTCCCTGGGCACTGGGCCCCTATGTGGCTGGATGCGTTTATCAAAGCCTGTGTCCGACATTCAGGTGCACCTAGCAGAAAGCCAGCGTGCAATTCTAGAAGACCAGCCTAGTCCTGGGGCTTCCGGTTGGGAGGCTCAGCCCGAATCAGAAGGAAAAGCCACCAGCCCTGTAGAGAGTGCTCTCATGTCCTGGGACCAGCCTCCCAGCTGCAACACAGGAATCCTTCCTTCAGCCTGGAAGGAAATGCAGACACCTGCACGTGTTTAGACGCCTGTGTTGAGAGGAATTCCAGGGCAGCGCTCAAGGGTGGCTTCTGTGGACTTCACTACTTGCTCCCTGCCTTGGTGCCCAGGCCTGCCACATAATTCTTTTCCCTGCCTCTTCACCAGATGCACAGAGGGCTTCCATGGTGCTGTGAAAGAGAAAAATAGTTACTGCCGTTAAAAGAGTCAAAGCAGAGGGGCTGCAAGCTGCTTTCCTGTTCTCTAGGACCTAGGTTTATTATCCTCATATCCTTTCTTTCCAGCTCTGACCTATGTCCAAAGCAACCATCGTACTAATGCCCCGTTCACCCCAAGGGTGCTGCTGCTCGGGCCTGTGGGCAGTGGGAAAAGTCTGCAGGCCGCCCTCCTGGCCCAGAAATACAGGCTTGTCAATGGTGAGTGCCCCAGGCGCTGGGCTGCCCAGCTTGGAGCGCCTTTCCCTGCCTCCTGCCCCTCCTCCCCAGCTCTCTCATTGTATCTGGGGTGGTGTGGGGGAGAAGGGTCAGTATCACTTCTTTTTCTGGCTCTTTGTTCTTAACTATTTTCTGTTAGTCCATCTTTGCAGGAATAGATATTTTTCCTCCCGAAGAATATTGCCGTAAAAACATTAACCACTAAAAACATGCCCACAGCCCAAAGAGACAGAACAGTTTTCAGTCATCATTTTTTATATCCTTTGCAGCGGGGGGTTTGTCTGTGCTGTATGCCAGGGGTGGCTCCCATCTTGCCCCTGCCATCTCCCCTGAAGCCTCAGCTCCTGCATAATAGGAATGTGCTGTTTATTTATTTTCTCCCGTCTCGTTTGGCGCCCCCAACCCAGGTCAGTGTGTTTACAGGCAAACAATTTCTGAACCAGAGGAAGACTTCTCGCTCTGCACAGTTTCAATAAATATTTTACCAGGAGGAGAGAAAATATTGAAATCAGCTCTCCAGGTCTTTCCCGGTGTGGTCCCAGGCGGTCTTGGATGCCAGCTTGTGTTCAGGAGGATAAAGGGATGGGAATGAGGAAGAAACTGTAGCAGAGACACACTGCCAGGTTGAAGGGAGTTAAAAGCGCTGCCCCCACGCACACCATGCTCCACAAGCCTGGATAACCTCTACTGTATTTACTAAGGGAACATGAGACCTGCACCCCCAAATATATGCATATGCATACAACCCCCCAAATTATACAGGTATACCATATGAATGTAGAGAGGGAATACAAACAAATATATAGACACACAAATATACGTACAAATGTTTATACAGGTATATACATATATTTGTGTATGTATACACACATATACGTACAAATGTTTGTACATGTATATACATACAAATATATGTATATGCCTCCCCAGAAGGATCAAGCTTTGAATAAAAATGCTTCTCAATTAGGCCTCCTCCAGCTTACAGTTCTAAAGCCACTGAGACCAGCAAGGAATCCATGACAAAAGTCACACCCCTAAAATGAAGATAGAGACCTGAACAATTATTCTGCAAATTTGGTTACTATGGAAAATTAACCAGGACATTTAGAAAAAAAAAATGCTTTTCCTTGAGTTCATCTTTAAAAATGAATTTCAATAATTCCTTCTCCTTTTGATTGTGTCTCTTGTTACAAGACAAAATTTCCAGCAGTGTTAGGGATGGCTTCTTTGTTCCGATGACCCGCAGTCTACCTGTGGCGGCACCGCTTGCTTACGAGCGTGCACACATCGTTACGGGAAGGGACAGAGTGAGCGCGGAGGGGCACTGGCGGTGGTGGGAGGGTCTGAACACACAACAGCGATACTGTAATGCAGTGCAGAGCTTTATGGAAATAATTGTCTCGGTGCTCTGTTTTATGATGCAGACACTCTCATTCAAGAAAAGGTTTTTTTTAAAATTTAAATTGCATTCAGCACACCAATTATGAAGAGATGAAATTATCTTTCTAGATTTTTCCAAAAATGAAAAAAGGAAAGCTCATCATGGTTTTTGCTTGTTACCTAAGAGCCATGATGGGGCTTGTTTAGATAATTAAGCATTTGGAGACTGCCTCAGGAAGTTCCCATTTATCAAGGGGTTCTTGATAAACACAAGACATCAAGATATTTAAGCAAACCCATTTAAGGGACCTAAGGCAGGAAGCGGTAGCCTTGGGATCTCTCTGCAAATGCCTGTCTGAACCCAGAGCTCTGGGTGCTGTCTGCTCCGCTGCGGCCATCCGCTGGCCTGGTTCTAAACTTACTGCCACAGAGTTCATCAGAAGACCCCACTTAGGATGGTGGGATTATACATGGACACAACTTTCTGAAAGGCAAGAGCCACTATTGGTTAAAGCGCTAACTGCGCAAACCCTGTGACCCTGGGATTTAACTCCTAGGAGTTTATTCTGTTCCAGCACTCAGATATGCAGTGAGAGATGTGGCAGAAGCATAATGAGAAACACAGGCAACCTCCAACTTTGTTAATAAGCGGGTTTGTGAAATAAGTTGTGATAAACCCATGTAATGGATTGCGAGGCAGCTGTTAAAAATAAACCTGTAAAGTGATTTGATGTCGGGGATACGTGGCTAAGTAAGGGAGGGGCAGAAAACAATTTGCTCAGCAGTATCCAGGGGGTGAGCTCATTTTTGTTTAAAAAAGCATGTTAGTTTATGCTCAGAAAAAAACCTAAAGAAATATCCGTACACCAAACTACTTATCTCGGTAGAGCTGTGTATTATACAATTCAGATTTTTTTTTTTACAGTGAGCATGAATTCCTTCCTTCCTTCCTTCCTTCCTTCCTTCCTTCCTTCCTTCCTTCCTCCCTTCCTTCTTTTTCTTTCTTTCTTCTTTTTTTTTTTTCGGGTCTTGCTCTGTCACCCTGGCTGGAATGCAGTGGCGTAATCATGGCTCACTGCAGCCTCCAGCTCCTCAAGTGATCCTCCCACCTCAGCCTCCCAAGTAGCTGGGACGACAGGTATATGCCACCATGCTCAGCTAATTTTTTATTTTTGTAAAGATGGGATCTCTCTATGTTGCCCAGTCTAGTCTCAAATTCTTGGCCTGAAGCAGTCCTCCCACCTAGGCCTCTGGTTTCCTTTTTGACTCGTGTACTATTTAGAATGCACCTTGCTTAATTCCCACATATTTGGGAATTTTCCTGATTGCTTTATATTCTTGATTTCTAATTTAATTCTATTGTGGTAAAAGAACATACCCTATGTGATTTTGATCCTTTGAAATATGCATATATGGTCTATACTGGTGAATTCCAAGTGTACTTAAAAAGTAGGTATTCTGCATTGTTGGAGATAGTGTTCTATAATGTCGATTAGGATAAGATGTTTGACAGTGTTTAAGTCTTCTATGTCCTTAACGATTCTCACTCTACTTATTATGTCCGTTATTGAGAGAGGTGTGTCAAACTCTCCCAACTCTTTTATTTTTAATTTTTTACAGTCATCCGGCCCAAAATGTCAAAAATCTCCCAACTCTGAATTGTGGATTTGTCTATTCTCTGCAAGTTTTTGCTTCATGTAATTTATTGTTAAGTGCATACTGTCACACCTCAGTGTCCATGGGGGATTGGTTCCAGGACCTTCCTTGGATACCAAAATCCGAGGATGTTCGAGTCTCTGATACAAAATGGCATAGTATTTGCACATAACCTATGTACATTCTGCTATACACTTTAAATCGTCTCTAGATTACTTATAATACCTAATATAATGTAAATGCTATGCAACAGTTGTTATACTGTATTGTTTAGGGAATATTGACAAGGAAAAAAGACTACATGTTCAGTGCAGACATAATTTTTACCTCAAATATTTTCAACCTGTGGTTGGTGGACTCCATGAGTGTAGAAACTATGGATATGGAGGGTTGACTGTATACAGTAAGGATCGTTATATCTCATTGGTGAAATGACCCCTTCATTGCTAGGAAATGTTGCTTTTCCTCTCTAGCAATACTCATTTTCTTGAAGTCTACTTTGTCTGATGTTAATGAAGTTTCTCTAACTTTCTTATGTTTCGTGTCTGTATGATATTCCTTCTATTCTTTTTCTTTTAAACTATCTGTGTCTTTTTTTTTTTTTTTTTTTTTTTGAGACGGAGTCTCGCGCTGTCGCCCAGGCTGGAGTGCAGTGGCCGGATCTCAGCTCACTGCAAGCTCCGCCTCCCGGGTTCACGCCATTCTCAGGCCTCAGCCTCCCGAGTAGCTGGGACTACAGGCGCTGCCACCTCGCCCGGCTATTTTTTGTATTTCTTAGTAGAGACGGGGTTTCACCGTGTTAGCCAGGATGGTCTCGATCTCCTGACCTCGTGATCCGCCCATCTCGGCCTCCCAAAGTGCTGGGATTACAGGCTTGAGCCACCGCGCCCAGCCTATCTGTGTCTTATAGTCTAAATATGTGTCTTGTAGGCAGCATACAGTTGGGTCTCACTTTTTTTTTTTAAGAGACAGGGTCTTGCTCTGTTGCCCTGGCTGGAGTACAGTGGTGCAATCATAGCTCATCGCACCCTCAAACTCCTGGGCTCAAGTGAACCTCCCACCTTGGCCTCCCACTGAAGTTACAGGCATGAGCCACCACGCCTGGCCTGTTTTTGTTTGTTTGTTTTCTACTTGTGTCATCTGTTCTTTGTTCCTTCTTTCCTGCCATCTTTTGGATTAACCAAATATTTTTTAGTAATTCATTTTTTTTCTTTCCTTTTTAGCCATATCTCTTTGCTTTATTTTGTTAGTGGTTGCTAGGGATTAAATATTCATCTTTTGCTTGTCACAGCCTATTCTGAGTGAATATTACACCTCAATACGTATGGTATCAGAGACCCGCAGCAGTAGATTTTTCTATTTACCTTACTTCTTTACAGTTGACATACATTTTACTTGTGTGTATGTTATAAACCCTACAATATATTGTAATTATTTTTGTTTTAAATAGTCATTCATCTTTTAAAGAAGTGAAGATATAAAGGGGGAAAGACTTTTATGTGTACCCACCTATCAATACTCTTCACTCCTTGGTTTAGATCCAAGTTTCCTTCTGGTATCATTTTCTCTCAGCCTGAAGAACTTCCTTTAACATCTCTTGTAGTGAAAGTGTGCTGGTGACAAATTTTCTCAGCTTTCATACGCCTGAAAATGACATGATTTCATCTTCATTTTTGAAGGATGTTTTGGCTGCATATAGAAATCTACGTTGACAGTTTCTTTCTCTTAACACTTTAAAGATGTCATTCTATTGTCTTCTGGCTTGCACTTCTTCTGATGAGATCTCAGAGGTTATTTTTACCATTGTTGCCCTACATATTAAGCACCCCCCCCTGCCTCCAGCTGCTGTTAATATTTTCTCTTTAGCTTTCAGCAATTTGACTATGATGTATCAAAGTGTGACTTACTTTGTGTTTGTTCTGCTTGGATCTCAGAGATTCTTGGATGTGTGGGTTGAAATTTTTAATGAAATTTTGAAATTCTCCTGTCATTATCTTCTGAAATCTTTTTCCTGCCTGTCTCTCTTCTTTCTGGAACTCCACACATATGTTAGACTGTATGGTATTGTCCTCCAGGTCTCTTAGATTTGGTTCTTTTCTTCCAGTCCTTTCCCATCCCCCTCTTTGCTGCAGTTTGGCTACTTCCTGTTGCCTCTTTTCCTGTCTTTAAATTCACTGATTGCGGCACACCTAGTGATTTGTTTCATTTAAGATACTGTATTTTCCAGTTCCAGAATTTCCATCTGGTTCTTTTTCACAGTTTTCATTTCTCTGCTGAGATTCTCCATCTGTTCACTCATTTTAACTATCTTTTCCTTTAAGGTTTTAAATGCACTCATAATAGCTGTTTTAAAGTCCTGGTGTGCTGATTCTGACATCTGTGTCATCCCCTGATCTGATTCTACGGCCTGTTTTCTCTTCTCATAGGAGAGAAAACATTTTCCTGCTTTTTTGCATGTCAAGGAGCTTTCAATTAAATGCTAGACATTGTGTTTCTGATATTTTTGAAGGTCTGGATTGTGTCATCATTCTGCTTTAAGAGTATTGAGTTTGGAGGATTAACTCCATCCCATTGAAGCTTATTTTTAGGCTTTGTTAAGTGGGACTAGAGTGTTCTTACTCTAGGGCTAGAGTATCCCTGCAGCTAAGGTCTGCCCTTTCTGGAATCTCAGCTGAATGTCTGGGGTGTTCAGCAAGTTCTCTCACTTTGGTTGTCAGAATGCCAGCATCTCCCAGCCCTGTGTGAATTTCCATTCAGTTCACAGCTTCCCGGTAGCTTTTCTCTACCAGGCCTCTGGAGTCTCACCCTGCACATGTGCAGCTCCATATTGGCCAAAGGCTCAGTGAGCCCTTATGAGATTTCTGGAACCCCTTCTGTTCACAGCTGCCTCCTCTCCATTACCCTGTTCTACAAATTCTGGCTGTTTCTGGCTCTAGTGTTTGTTGCTCCCACCCAGTGAGCCTGCTGATCCGTTTGGGCTCCGCTTCTCCTGTGCCATGACTTGAGAAGTGCCCGTAGGTCGAAGTCCAGGATGAATATGGGGCTCATTTTGTGTGTTTCCTGCCTCTCAAGGATTACAGACCTGTCTCTCTGTTGTCCAGTGACTCTAAAGAATTGCTTCATAGATTTTGTTCAGTTACACAGCTTTCTATAAGACAAGTTAAATATGATACCCATTACTGCTTCGTGGCCAGAACTGGAAGCTAAGCATGGGTTTGATGTCACACAGACCTGGGTTTGGACCCCAGCTCTGCCCCTTAGTGGCTCTGTGACCTACAGCAGGTTATTTCATCTCTTTGAGCCTGAGTGTCTTTACCTAAGAAACAACAGGTTATTGTGAGGGCCAAATAAAACAAAGCAACAAAGCACACTTAGCACAGTGCTTGGCACATAGAAGTGTCTCAGTTCCCAGTTCCCAGCAGCCTTTTTTTTTCTTTTTCTTTTTCTTTTCTTTCTTTCTTTCCTTTTTTTTTTTTTTTTTTTTTTTTTTTTTTTGAGACAGAGTCTTGCTCTGTCACCCAGGCTGGAGTGTAGTGGTTTAATCTCTGCTCACTGCAACCTCTGCCTCCTGGGCTCAAGCGATTCTCCTGCCTCAGCCTCCCAAGTAGCTGGGATTACAGGCTTCCACCATCACGCCCGGGCTAATTTTTGTATTGTAGTGGAGACGGGGTTTCACCATGTTGGCCAGGCTGATTTCGCACTGCTGACCTCAAATGATCCTCCCTCCTTGGCCTCCCAAAGTGCTGAGATTACAGGCATGAGCCACCGCGCCTAGCTTCCAGCAGCCTTTATTTCTCACTTATATGTCCTTTGCTGGTGAGGCTGCCAACCACATTGGATTAAATTAAATGACAACTGCTGTCATTTACATAGTGAATTAAGCATATCATTATTGAGGAATGAATCCTTGGTGACGGTAATTTTGTTAAACATTCATGCTATCCAGTTAACTGTAGGATGTTTTTTTGGTCTCTTTAGTATAGGCAGAAAACTTCTTAGCCCTAAAGGTAAGAAAGCCAAAAGTGTGCAATGAACAATTCATGAAAATATAGCTTAAATCTTCTGGCTTTGGCAAGGAAGGGCTTTCACGGCCAAGGAGGAGTCGCCTGTGTTTATTCACTCGTGCTTGTTGCCCAGCACCTCCTATGTGCCAGCCCTGGCTCAGGGCTCGAGACAGTGGGGCCAGAGGGAGGCTCCTGCCCAGGGCGAGCAGGTGTCCAGAAGGGGGCAGCTGCCACTGGCCAGGTGACTCCAGCATGGTACCTTTTTTTTTTTTTTGAGACGGAGTCTCGCTCTGTCGCCCAGGCTGGAGTGCAGTGGCGTGATCTTGGCTGGTTGCAACCGCCGCCTCCCAGGTTCAAGCGATTCTCCTGCCTCAACCTCCGGAGTAGCTGGGATTACAGGTATACACCACCACACCCAGCTAATTTTTATATTTCTGATAGAGACAGGTTTTCACCATGTTGGCCAGGCTGGTCTTGAACTCCTTATCTTGAGTGATCGCCCACCTCAGCCAAAGTGCTGGGATTACCGCCACGTGGTGCCTTTTAATGATGAGTCAGCCCACTTGAAATATGAATCTATCCTGTTATGTGGCCCCACCATCCCGTGGAGATGACCTGCCAGCTGGAAGGGCTGTGGAAGCAACGTGCCGCATCCCTTCTCCGTGTAACAAGGGTGCGAATGTGGACACACTTGAGGCACATTGCTCAGAGACGAGCAGCCCTCCACCGGAACGCTGATCTTCCGCAGCGACCTGGAGGGCGCCGAGTTCTGCGCAGCAATTCCAGGTGCAGCAAGGCCCTGCAGGGCTCCTCTGTGGGCAACTCCTCGTTAGTGTCTTCCCCGCGCCGTCCATTTTTAATGTGTTCTTTGCCAAATGCATTCCTTTTCATTCCACCTCTCCCTCTTCTTTATTTCCCGGCTCCTTTTTGATATTTACTTTTACTTGGACACATACCCACACACAGAAAAACCCTTTTATGCTTTTTTCAGTGACCTTTTTTTTCCCCCCCCAGCAGGCAGCACTGGGGGTTCTTTTTTTCTCATCCTTCCTCCTATTTAAAATTTAATGGGTGCCTTTCTGTTCCTCTCTCCTTCAGTCTGCTGTGGGCAACTGCTGAAAGAGGCTGTGGCAGACAGGACCACGTTTGGCGAGCTCATTCAGCCCTTTTTTGAAAAGGAGATGGCAGGTAGGCCACGTTCCCACTAACTGTCACGACCTTACAGGCTGCAGAGAGAACTTTCTCTTTGTGCGGCTCTCTGAACATCCAGGGGCTCAAAACGGGGGAGAACAGCTGGGAAATGGAAATTGGGTTTTCTTGTAAGCTAAGGCTCTATTGCCTGTTTCTAGTAAGGCCTCTTGGTGTCTGAGCCCGATCCCCAGTGAGGTGAGTTTGTGGATGTGTGGGGGTTATCCCTGATGGTTTAGAATGTTCCTATTTCTCAAGACTATTTGCTTTTCATCACTGGTACCACTTAAGATTGAGAGCCAGGAGAGGCCACAGACCTCCCAACATCTTTTTTTTTTTTTTTTTTTT